TTGTGATTTTTAATCATTTAGATTATTTGTCAACTGATGATTCCCTTCAGCAAGGATGAAACTAGTCTTGACTGCTGTTCACACCCACACCCACACCCTCAAGTAATAATAATTAGGAATATACCGCTCACACTCATGAGCGTAAGCTGTACACTCTTATGTTGCATCCTACTTGATATTTAAGTATGGAAAACTTCATCGGAACCTAGCAGAATTCATCGGATTTGACTAATATGTCAATCTCATCAGTTCACTCATGCTTCTTACTCGAAAATCCTACGACCAATTCCTCCTTTTCCCGATCAGGTTTTTTGGATCCTGGTGGACCCTGTTGGATACTACTCGATCCTAGGATCCAATAGGATCCGCTTTTCCCCCTTGAGATTAGATATTAGTGATTTAGAGGACCGATCGGCAGAAGAGCATATCAATATAGCAAGATCATCAGCGAATAAGTGTTTCCAATGCAATATGGATATACTGTTCAAAATGTCATAATGAAATACTATAAAGATGGCTGGTCCTATGCATGATCCTTGTGGTACTCCTTTATGCAGGCAAAAGGTACTGAATGTTGTTCCATTCATGTCTATGTATGCTGCTCTTTCACATAGATAGTTAAGTAACCACGTTATTAGATATATAGGACAATTTAATCGATGTAGCTTCAAGACTAAACCACTGAACCACAGCTGGTAAAAAGCTGATTTAAAGTCGACAAAAATACCAGCTGTGGCTGTATTTACCGATAAGCTTTGCCCGATTTGATCTACCATTGGCACCAACCTAACCGCCATGTTGTGCCCTGGGCGAAAGTCAGATTGTTCATCTGGAAGAATGCCATTTCCATTTACCCATTGATAGAAATGTCGAAGAAAAACATTTTCATATAACGGACGAGAGACGTTTTGGGGTAATTTCGGACCAATTCGAAAAAGACATCGGTTTCATCTGAAAGTTTCCCAAACTGTAGAGCACGTTGTTCTATATCATTTCTAGAAGTTTCAGCTTGATCCGTTGTGCATAAGGGCAGTTGTGGCTCTGCTCATGCAAGGATCTTTTAGGCACAGTGGTTGAATTTTGAGTAGGTACTTTTTCAGCAAAAAACAGCATGCTTTATATACCATTCGATACAGAATTTTGTCCCGAGCAAAGCTATATATAGAAGTTCTAGTCAGAGTTGAGGATTCCTTGCAAAATATTAACAATACTATCTAGCGGTGGTTATTTTCAGTCAGGTGTAGTAACTGTTTTTACCTCATTTTATTGAGGTGTGGGTGTGGATGCGTGTCGGCGAACTGACGACAAACACTCACCTGCGAATAACTATTCCGACCATCATTGGTTACCCACACCGACATCCTGAAGATTCCAGTTTGCTGTGAACGTTATAGCAATATCGCTCCGGCAAAATTTTATGCTTCAGAAAACATATATTGAAATATGTGTTTGTTCGCTATTATTCTAGATTTTATAAGATGAGCCTTCCAGTTCGCTATAGCCTCGTTGTTTTACTATTCGTAATAATACTTTTGGTCAGGCTCTGGTTTCAATTATCAGGTGTGAATGACGTACACGAATCAGCAGTTCCACCTTCGTCTGCATACTGCAACTCTCCTGGAATTCATGCTAACTGTCTCTTCACTCGATCTATGTGCTATAATGTTAACTTGCGCACGTGGGAGCTATCTAATCTGCCGTTTCCTAATTGGGGTGGTGTGTCACTCCGATCGCGTGGTGAGCTGTCTATCACGGACCCTCTATATTGGACTTGTAATGAGCTGTTCATTCCTAAATTGAGTACACTCCCAGCTATGGAGAGAATTTATTGGGTGAATGGTACAAATGTTATGTCATGCATTTGGGTGAATGTATTCGGTCATATATTCCTTGAAATGCTACTTCCTGCATGGCTAGCAATGCGAAATTTAGCTGATAGTTTCAATCTCTCCGACAGAAATGTCACATATATTTTGGATAGCCGATACACCGCTTCGCTTGCTGCTCCCACCTTCACCATACTATCTGATCGACCTATATTGCAATTAGAGAATCTAGTAAACGAGACCAACAGACAACAAAAATCTCACATTTGTTTTGAGAGGTTGATAGTTGGATATCGACTTCAGTCAGCCCTCCAGTTTCCACATAACGCTGCTCACCTAGAAAGCAAAGATTTAGCTTTGTTTCGAGATTACATAAAAACAATGCATGGACTACCACTGCAAGTAAATATGTCAGCCGGTGCATGCATCGCTCTTCTCATACAAAGAAAGTATAGTAGAAGAATCCTGGAAAAAAGTGAAAAAGGAATTGTTGCGATGCTTCGAGAGCGAACATTATGCACAGTAAAAATTGCCACCTTTGATGGATTAGCTATGTTAGAGCAAGTTCGTCTAGTTGCTAGTGCGACAATATTTATTAGCGTAAGCGGCTCTGGTGGACACCAATTTATATGGCTACCCGATGGCGCCGCTTCATTGCTACTTGTTCATCGACATTTAGGAACGGGTGTTATTGGCCATGGAGGAATCGGAGGCGGTGGATTTCCAGGTAATGATCTGTTATGTTGGAAACATCCTACAATTATGTGTGTTAATGCTGCGACAACGTCATTGACAGCGCATTACTCCAGTGATGTGGAAGTAGATCTTCACTCATTCTCCATTGCCCTAGACATGATTAAACTATGGCAGCGCCGTGGGAAGTTTGATCCACGTGATCCTTCTGAGTAATGCTCATTCAAGTGGCACACTTCGCAAAACATAAGCACAGTAATATACAAGTTTGAAACACTATACGATGTGAGACGAATTCAGCCTAACGAATCTCACAGTCACAAGTGCAAATGAATGTGGGGGAGGGCTGTGGGTGTGGGCGATAAATAAATTCAAAACAGATTAACCTATCTCTTAAGGGTGTGTGGGTGTGGGTGTGAACAGCTACCATAATCTAGATCTCACTGGAACTACCCAGATCATCAGATGGCAAAGAATCAAAATGATTTTCAAAACAAAAATCATAAGATTAATTTATATCTGATATATATAAAAAAGAAATTCTTATATATATTGATAAAATTCAAGACACTGTAGTGTGAACAGCTACCATAATCTATATCTGTCGGTCATTGGTAAGATGTTGTAGGTTGAATGATGGGTGTGGGTGTGTGGATCGGTGTGTTAATCACTCAACAATAAGATTCAGAGCAGGGTGTGGGTGTATGTAAATCAAATGAAAACAGACCGATCTATCTCTTAACGAAAAGACAAATCAATCTGCTGGTCTCAAATCTTGCTTTTTCAGCAATCGATCGAAGTCGCAATTATTTTGAAAAATTGAGAGATTGTGCTTGAATAAAAGTGATAAAAGAAATGCAGAATTTTATTTTTGCCGACGCGTTTCATGTTTATTTAAAAATTTGAAACACTCTTCAGGGCTCTACATTTTGAGTTAGCACAAAAAGAAGGGGGGAAAAAATAAGGGATTAACTTGTTTTCGGGAGGTACAAAAAAATCAAGCGAAATTAACTTATTTTTAGCGAATACAAATAAATCAAAAAATGAAAAAAGAAAATAGAAAATAGAAAAAAGAAAATAGAAAAAAGAAAATAGAAAATAGAAAAAAGAAAATGGAAAAACGAAAATAATAGTACAATGAAGTAGAATGAAATACGAACTTTTGGCTGTTGAAGCGAGAAGGTTTCTAGCGAAAACCGTTAAACGAGGAGATTTTTCGCCACGACCGTTGAAACGGCCAGGTTTTAGCGAAAACCGTCGAATCCAACGTTGTTTTTTTGTTTTGAGTCCATATCTTCATTGGTTCGTTCAGGTATTGAGTTTGGCTGTTGTGTAAACGGCCAGATTTTTAGCGAAAACCGTCGAATCCAACGTTGTTCTTGGATGCATTGTATAATTGTGGAGCCATGACAGTCAATGGACACGTTGTCTAATATTGAAACGTTCAATAATTCGTTTGAATGTAATTGCACCGTTCTTGTCGTATTGATGCACTTACTATTTGTAGTTCGTTTTCCTTATTCTGTCTTTACTTATACCATGTTCATATTTATATGTTTTCATTCTGTTGTCTTTACTCATATCGTATTGATGTTGGTATTCGTTTTGTAATTTAATTGAAGTAATTCAATATTGAACCATACAACTCATAATTGAATTAGATTCGAATACGATAAGTTTGTAATTTAACTAAAGTTAATAACTAATTTGAATTGATTTCGTTTTTGAGGCCAAGTTGTTGAAATAGATTAATTAGTAATGGCAGAATTGTACTTGATAGATTTTGAATGAATCCCGTACTAATTTTATAATTCAACTTAATTTCACACTAATTCCACACTAATTACTAATTTCAGAATCAAGTTTAATATTAATATATCCAATTTGTTCAAGTATTCAAGTATTGTTATTGGTATAAAATCTAGATTTTAAGATTTATAATTCATACTTGATTTAAATTTGATAAGTTTAATACTGATTAAAATAAGTTTAGTTCAGTTTAATACTGTTTTGAATACACAATATTTAAACGAAATTGGGCAGGTTTTATATAGAGACCAAATTGCAATGAAATATTGAATTTAAATGCCAAATATTAAGACTAAGTTGAACAAATTTTTTATATTAATCCGAATTAATTTTATAGTAAATTGAATAAATTTTATATTAAATCGAATAAATTTCATAATAAATTGAGCAAATCTTATATTAAATTGAATAAATTTCATATTATGGTGTATTGAAATGGAATATTGAAATTGAATGGTAAATATTAAGACGAAACACATATATCCGATTGCTTATCTTATTGAAATATAAGATGAATATTAATTTTTCGATTTGGTGTGTATTAATCGTCTTTGTAGATTATCAACATTTCTTGTGCCAAGTATTGGGGTAATTTCATTTATTGGAGATTTATCAAAATATTTGTCCCATAAGGTATGAAATTTAATTGGAAATGTCTTCATACTTGAACAATAAGTAAAGTGGACAAATATCGATTTCTCGTAATTGATCGACAATTTCTCTTTTATAGGAGAATTAATAACAGCTTGACGATAGCTAACATAATTATTCAAGGTTAATGGTTCATTGACATTGAATTTTAATAGCATATTATTGAACTGTTCATCGATAATCTTATTTGGATATTTATTAAGTAATAAAGCCATTCTTAACTTTTCACGCTCATTTAGATATGATTCAAATGTTGAACAATATCTAATGGCACGTAGTAACATGGCAAATGGAATATTCTTTTTCATATGTAATGGATGAATACTATTAAAGGGTAAATAATATGGTTCATAGGATGGCTTCTGGAAAACTGTCGTATATAATTGGCCATCTTGATTTTCTATACTTAAATCTAGGAAGTTGACAATTGAACCAATATTTGCAGATAATTTAATGTTTTCATCAAATTTATTCCATCTTTCGATTTGTTTGAGTAAATGCCGAACAGGCCAATTAATTGTAATAAATATATCATCAATATATCGGAAATAAAGTCCACCACTATTTCTAATTTGATTAACTATCTGTCTTTCAAAGAAGTACATGTAGCAATTGGAAATAGTTAGAGTAAGAGGAGAACCCATTGCTCCTCCTCTTACTTGATGATAAAATTGACCATTATAAGAAAAGTAATTATTTGTCATAACAAGTCGACTTAGTCTAATAATTGTTTCGACTTTTAATCCACCGACTTGTTTTAATTTTAACTGGTCTAACATTTTCTTTAAGGAAAGCACTCCTTCTATTTGAGGTACCATAGTATAAAGGTCTGTGACATCAATTGTACAAAATGTTGTATCTTGTCTGAAATTATTCCTTGACCACTGTTGTAATTGTTTAACTAAATCAAAACCAGAAGTGACAGTAGAATTTAATGCCATCTGATCGAATAATGGTCGAAGTAAATCATCAAGAAGTTTTGATATCTTAATTGTTGGATGTTTCAAACCAGATATAATTGGTCTTAAAGGAGTACCAGGCTTATGAGCTTTTGGTAAATAATATAAATGAGCTAATTCGACCTCATTTGGTTTAATACTTAATTGCTCATATTGTTTTTGAGTAATCCATTTGGCCAGTCTTAAATCTAATAGGTATTTATTGGTTCGCTGAATTAAATCTGGAAGTGGATCAATAGTACCAAGACATTGATATGCTTGTGTTTTCTCCATATATTCTTCAGATTTTTTCTGATAATGATCAATTGTACCTAAATGAAATACTTTTGACTTATCAGTTTTTCTTAATACTGTATTAGCCAGATGAATTTTATATTTTAATCTCTTAACTATTCGACCATAATTTTTCTTTTTTCTTGGACGAATAATAGTTTGAGATTGACTGGATTGACTTGATTGACTTAATTGAATAATTGAAGATAAAGTGTCAAAAGATTTATTTGTTTGAGTTTTATTAAAATGTATTTGTTTCTTAGTAGTTGGGATATTATGTAGATTCTGGAGCAAGACATCTAATTCAGCAATGAATTGTTCGACTGGACGACCGGGGCTTACTTTCTTTTCAAAGAAACGAGCTTCTATTTTTCGTTTCAAAGTCGCCAATTCAGTTGTCCTTCGTCGAGATGCTGTTTTGGGGTCATCGAATATAAAACGTGGACCTAATTTTAATAATTGATGTTCTTGCTCAGTTAATTTTATATTTGCTTGATTAATTATTGCGGGACCAAGAAGTCCTCGCCGAGTGAACGTACTAGAGTCGGAGCAGTTGTTTGTTTTTCTTCTTCTTCTTGTTGATTGTTGTCGTTGCCCACGACTCGCTGTTCGAATAAAAAAGAAAGTGATTTTTCAATTTCTAAATTTAGTCTTTTTTCACGCAGTTCATGATATTGTTTAAATGCTGCATAACCAGGTTCAGCATCAGATCCATCATCATCATTTTTTTGAGGAAATTTTTCGATGATGCTATTGAGTTGATGTAATATTACTTCGTATTCTCGAGCAGCAGATTGAATATGTAACGTCATTGTTTGAGTACGAAAATCTTTAGTAATTTGACGCATTTGATTGTACATCTCTTGTGCTTCATCTTGTTTTATAATTGATTCATCAATCTTCAATGAAGAGTCAATGTTGTCAATTTTATCAATAAATTTAGGTAATAGATCAAATTTTACACGTTTTGAAAGTATTTGATAATTTTTACTTTTAATTGACCAAAGTTTAACTTTTGGTTTTAATATTAGATGAAGATTCCATTGAGTTGTTGTGGCAATCTGTTCAAAATCTTCTAAGGCCTTGAATTCTTCCATTTGAGCTTTAGCTAACTGAATTCGAATTTGAGCCATCTTTTGAACATGTTGTGTACAAGATTTAATATATTCTAATATAAATTTTTCAATCCGATCAACTGGTTCTCTAGCATAATTTTTTGCAGTAGTAGTAGTCGGAGCTCGTGTTGTTGAAAATTCATCGTCTGTATCTGTTGTTGCTGCTGCTGTTGCTGCTGTCGTCGTTGTCTGACGTGTTCTTTCAAGTAGTATATTTTTAGCTATTGTTTGAGCTAATCTTTGATTTGTTATTTCAGATGTAGTTTGTATCCAATATGCAGATAATTGGATTTGTAAATCTGAAATTGCAGCACTTGCTTCAGAAATATTGCCAGTAAATTGATTAATTTTCTTTTGAACAAATCGTGTATTCAGTACGTCGTCACGTCTTTTTGTACGTTGAACAACTTCTTTAGCCCAATGTTTATGTTCTTTGCCCATTTTTAAATAGGCTTGCCAGACTTGTAATTCATAATTATTTCGAATCCAATCATCGTAAATTGCAGTAGCAGCTAGTACATATGCTTGATTACCACGACCACTTACAGCATTTTTTGAACTTTTCGAATAATTTTCTAACCATTTTAATATTCGATTTGATTCAAGATATAGACGAGTCTTTTTCTTCTTATTATATGCTTTAAATGGTATTGGTTCATCTTTAATGTCCATTTCAATATTATTTTCTTCATCTTCATTTTCATCAGCTAATACAGTAAATCGATTGTTACGACCTTGTCGACGTCGATAAGAAGACGTTGTTCTACGTTGTCGTGGATTTTGTTGTTGTCGTGGTTGTTGCTGTGGCTGTTGGTTATCTTGATTGACGACAAAAGGTTGTGTTGTATTTCTTATTGTTGCAAAACGTTCACGTTGTGGTAATGCATCTGGTGGAGCAGTTGTTGTTGTTGTTGTTGTTGTTGTTGTTTCTAAGTTGAAGTCAGGTGGAAGATTAGGTGAAGGTTCACGTATTTCAGGTGGCATGAAATCATTCAATCGCATTTGCCGTGGACCACGTCTACGTTGATTTATTGGACGATTATCCCGACTGTTTGGTCTATTTGAGCGACTTCGACGTCGTTGATTTGAACCACTTCTTCTTGATCGAACTGGCCGACTATCAAAACGATTGCTTTGTTGTGGTGGTCGATAATTACGATTGTAATAAACATTTTGAGGATAATAATTTGGACGATTATATTGATTTCTTCGATAATTATTGTATTGATTACTTCTATTTGAATAATATTGATTGTCTCTATTCGAATAGTATTGATTTCTCCCATAGTTTGATGGATTACCTCCATAATAATTTGATTGTGGATTGGCCCTATTGTTATATTGATTAGCCCCATTATTGTTGTTGTATTGATTGGCCCCTAAAACACCACCACGACGACGGATATATCTTCGCATGCGTGGTGGTGCATTTGGATCTTGTAAGGGCATTTGATTATTATAATTTATTGACGACATAAATCGTTGAATAAGTTGAGATAGGAATGGATCAAATTAGAATAATATAATTCAAATAACTTGACGCCTGATATAATTGAGGGTGTATGTAAATCAAATGAAAACAGACCGATCTATCTCTTAACGAAAAGACAAATCAATCTGCTGGTCTCAACTCTTGCTTTTTCAGCAATCGATCGAAGTCGCAATTATTTTGAAAAATTGAGAGATTGTGCTTGAATAAAAGTGATAAAAGAAATGCAGAGTTAATTTTGCCGACGCGTTTCGTATCTTTTGCAAGATAGTACTCTTCAGGGCTTTAGACTTATATATATATATATATATCTAGAATAAAGAAAAGAAGGTGATTAAATAATTTTAGTTGAACTAAAACAAATCAAATAGACCACAAAATTATTAAAATCTAAATAAAATCTATTTATCTAACTCGACTACTTCATACTAATAATCTAGATAGGTTAAATAATTTTTTCATATATAATAATGTTGGAAACAAAAGCTAAATTTTAAAATCATTCTTGAACAAACTTCATGGAAATGTTGATTGAATTGACATCGTGAAGTCCAATCAAGATGTTATTGAGCTTATCTTCATTGGTTGTATCTCTTCTAAGAAATAAAGTGATTGTTCAACTTCTAAGTTTAACCGTTTTTCACGTAATTCATGATAATGTTTAAATGCTACATGACCAGCTGTAGCACCAAA